TTTTGAGAAGGTTTGAGATGTCTTTGCGAATGTTGACTATCCAGCCAAACTGCTTGAGGGTTTTGCAAGTTAGGGAAACTTGCTTCTCCACTTCCTGTTTTGTGCCTCCTAAAATGAGAATATCGTCCAAATAGTGGAAGATCCGAACACCCTTGGTCCTTAACAGTGTGATAACCACTGACAAAATCTTTGAAAATGTTCTTGTAGCTGTACACACTCCAAAAGGGAAGCACCGAAACTGAAAATGTGTGCCCCTGATGGCAAATCTTAAAAAGCGATGGTAACTTGGGTCCACTGGCACATGAAGATACGCATCTGCCAAGTCTACCAATGTCATCCAATTGTTGTTTCTTACTATTTCTATAATCGTGTCCACTGATTCCATCTTGAAAGCTAGAGGCTTTATGAAGGAATTCAGGTATTTGAGATCTAATACCAGTCTGAACCCACCTGATGCCTTTGGAACAAGAAATAAGGGGGAATATACCCCCATACCTCTCTCTCAAGCTGGTACTGGAACAATAGCTTTGGCGGCCAACAATTATTCTACGTAATTGTACAGATAAGCAGCCTTTTCCTGGGAAGAGGGGATTCTGGCTTCCACAAAATGAACCGCCAGATGTTTGCTGGAAAATTTGATCCAATATCCTCTTTGAATAACATCCAAAACCGATTCCATCAAAACATCTCTGAAATGGGCCAATCTCGCCCCTACCAGAGATGTTTGATGGGGCAAACCTTCAGAAACTCTTCTCTGTGGGCTTGGCATTCTGCCCTTCCTTGGACTTGGGTCCCTTAGTAAAGGAGGACTGACCGGACCTCCAGGAGGGTCTGAAATCCTCCCGTCCAGGTTTGTAAGACTTTGTGTCTTTAAACTGATCCTTCGATCTCTTATTTGTACGAAAGGAATGGCACTGCCTTCTTCTCTCCTGGGGCAATAATACTTACTTTCCCCTTGAGACTCTGTGAATGGCCTCCAAATAGCATTTCCCCCCCCCCCCTGAAGGGAATAGAGCAAAGGCCCCTGTTTTAATGCATTATCGGTAGACCAGGGCTTTAACCACAGAGATCTGCGTGCTGTCACTGAATGAGCCATGAGCTTGGCTGCCATTCTGGAATCTCTAAAAGAAACAGAATGCTGGAGAGGCAGTGTAACATGCCTTGCCAGCCTTTGCAATGCTGCATCCACCTTGGGGAGTGTATCCCAAAGCTAGAGTCCTTTGTTTTAAAAGGATATAGTTTAGCTACCCTATTTTGTGTTGTAAGCTTGAGGTTGGGCTTCGTCCATTCTTCCTCAATTATTTCCTAGATTTCGAAGGGAAATCAGGCAACTCTTTTTAGTTTGGGATACTATTTCCTCGGCTTTGTTAGAGGAGAGGCTTCTTCATCCTCCCAGACAATGGCTTGTTCAACTGCATTCACCAAAGTTGAGACTTGCATAGAATTGAATAAATGTATCTCAGGAACTGTATCTGACTCCGAGGAATCAGAATCTGAATTTCGTTCATAATGGGAAGCCAACACTGGAGACCAAGAAATTTCAACCGAGAAATATCTTCTTGACATTTTCTGAGATCTTCCCAAAAGCCTGTGAAAGCCATCTGCTACTGCTTTATTAATATAGGATTTAACTTCCCAAGATTCTGCTTCGGTATCTTTAGCTGCATCTTTAAGGCAAGAAGCACACACCAATTTTGTAGGTAGTGCTATCGTTGAACAGGCCCAGCACAAATTCTCATGCGTGCATGATGGAGAAGTCTCTTGAGAGGAGGAGTCTGCGCCTTCACGTTGCTGGTGTGCTCTCCTCCTGTGCAAAATTCTCGATTTGTGGGTGACTTTTCTTCCCAAAACCTCCAGGTGACTTTCATGAGCAACTGGGGAAGGCACATTAACTGGCACCACTGACGGGCTTTTATTCCATGCTGGGCTTTTCTTCCTGTCGAAGAGAGGATACACTCTTTTTTTTTAAAAAAAAAGTTGCCAGAACCCAAATAATGAGAAATAAATAAAAAAAAATGTGTTCTTTCTAGTATAAAGAACACAAACCTCTCAGAAGTTTGTTTCAGTGCTCTGGATGGAGGCGTGGTGGAACTCATGATGACACTCAAGAAACCGAAATAAAAGAGAGTATATGAAAAGCACAGCACATGAAGAAGCTGACATTGAGAGTACCTCAGAAGGAACCATGGACTCACAGGGACAGTTGGAGCTTGCAACCAGCAGAAAGAGATCAGAACACTGCAAGTGTGTGTGAAGTCTCCACAGCTGACAGGAGCAGAGAAGGGAAGCTGCATTTAAATCTCCCACCAAGAACCTCGGAGAAGAGCTGAAAGCTTCCCAACCCTGCCAAGCAACCAGGAAGTCCAGGCCACTCACCCCCCTGCTGCAGACAATGAGGCAGCCTGAAACCCGATCAGCTGCCTGTCTTGGAGTCTCTGAAGCAATTGCCCCTCACCTGTGAGCCACGAGGGAGTAGGAGGACAGAAAACCTCAGCCAGCCCAGCCATAATGGATGAAATAGAAAGGAGAAGGAGAAAGGTAAGCACCTTCACACCTGCCAGCCACAATCTGGAGCACCTAACAGCCTCCTTTCCCAAGAACTCAGGGCACCCACCATATAGGAACCTTGCACCTAAACAGGGGGTCTCCCACCCAGGAGAGGCTGAACCTGGACAGAGGCCACGCTTTCAGTTCTGTCTCTTCAATGAGTATCCGGAGCGCGAGGAGGAAAAAAGAACACCTGAGTGGGGATTAGCTTAGATTTATGGGCTAGTTATGGGTTGTCCTGGAGGGGTCACGAGGGCAGAGTTGACCGATAGTAGGCTGACATGAGGAGGTCCAGGAAATATATATATATATATATATTTATATATATATATATACACACTTGTACATATATATATATATTTTTATATGCAATATATATATGCACTATATATACAGTATGTATATATAAATATATATATATTTTTCCCCTATATTGGCATTGTGTCCACAGTAGCATTTGCATAGGAAGAGCAGAGTAGGACTAGCCATAGAGGGATCACCACTCCTTGGTTATCCTGGCTGTGTGCTTTGGGTCGTTGTCATGTTGGAAGACCCAGCCACGACCCATCTTCAATGCTCTGACTGAGGGAAAGAGGTTGTTGCTCAAAATCTCACAATAAATGGCCCCATTCATCCTCTCCTTAATACAGTGCAGTTGTCCTGTCCCCTTTGCAGAAAAAGCACCCCCCAAAGCAAGATGTTACCACCCCCATACTTCACAGTAGGAATGGTGTTCTTGGGATGCAACTCATCCTTCTTTTTCCTCCAAACACGACGAGTGAAGTTTAGACCAAAAAGTTCTACTTTGGTCTCATCTGACCACATGACTTTCTCCCATGCCTCCCCTGGATCATCCAGATGGTCATTGGCAAACTTCAGACGGGCCTGGACATGCGATGACTTGAGCAGGGGAACCTTCCGTGCAATGCATGATTTGAAACCATGATGGCGTAGTGTTCTACCGACAGAGACCTTTGAAACTGTGCTCCCAGCTCTCTTCATGTCATTGACCAGCTCCTCCCTTGTAGTTCTGGGCTGATTCCTCACCTTTCTTATCATCAGTGATACCCCATGAGGTGAGATCTTACATGGAGCCCCAGTCCGAAGGAGACTGACAGTCATCTTTAGCCTCTTCCATTTTCTAACAATTGCTACAACAGTTGATCTATTTTCACCAAGCTGTTTGGCAAATTCCCTGTAGCCCTTTCCAGGCTTGTGGAGATCCACAATTTTGTCTCTGGTGTCTTTTGACAGCTCTTTGGTCTTGCCCATGGTAGTAGTTGGCGTCTGACTGACTGTGGGGTGGACAGGTGTCTTTAAAGAGCTCAGACAGTCGCTACTAAGTTAGATTAATGAGTGAAGTAGAGGTGGACTTTTTAAAGGCACAGTAACAGGTCTTTGAGAGCCAGAATTCTTGCTGTTTCTTAGGTGTTCAAATACTTATGTTCAGCAGTGCAAGATAAATAAATTCTTTAAAAATCATACAATGTGATTTCCTGATTTTTTTTTTTTAAATTCTGTCTCTCAGAGTGGGAATGCACCTACAATGTGAATTTCAGACCCCTCCATGATTGGAAGTGGGAGAACTTGAAAAATCGCAGGGTGATCAAATACTTCTGTTCCTCACTGTATATATATATATATATACTGTATACACACACACACACACTATATTGCCAAAAGTATTGGGACGTCTGTTTTTACATACATGTACTTTAATGGCTTTCCAGTCTCAGTCTGTAAGGTTCAGTATTGAGTTGGCCCACCCTTTGCAACTATAACAGCCTCAACTCTTCTGGGAAGGCTGTCTACAAGGTTTAGGAGTGTGTCTATGGGAATGTTTGACCATTCTTCCAGAAGCGCTTTTGTGAGGTCAGGCACTGATGTCGGATGAGAAGACCTGGCTAGCATTCCCTGCTCTATTTCATCCCAAAGGTGTTCTATCGGGTTGAGGTCAGACCAGTCAAGTTCTTCCACCACAAACTCACTCATCCATGTCTTTATGGACCTTGCTTTGTACACTGATGAGCATCATATTGGAACAGGAAGGGGCCATCCCCAAACTGTTCCCACAAAGTTAGGAGCTTAAAATTGTCCAAAATGTTTTGATATACTGACACCTTAAGAGTCCCCTTTATTGGAACTAAGGGGCCAAGCCCAACCCCTGAAAAAACAACCCAACACCATACCCCCCCTCCACCAAACTTTGCACTTGGAAGACATGTCCATCGGATTACCAGACAGAGAAGCGTGATTAGTCACTCCAGAGAACACATCTCCACTGCTCTATAGTCCAGTGGCGGCATGCCTTTCCCCACTTCATCACATGCTTTCCATTGCACTTGATGATGTAACGCTTGGATGCAGCTGCTCGGCCATAGAAACCCATGGAAGCTCTCTATGCACTGTTGTTGTGCTAACCTGAAGGCCACCTGAAGTTTGGAGGTCTTTAGCTATTGACTCTGCAGACAGTTGGTGACTTCTGCGCACTGTGCGCTTTAGCATGGAATATTTAGTAGTAAGGAAATTTCACAGATGGACTTATTGCATAGGTGGCAACCTATCGCAGTACCATGATTGAATTCACTGAGCTAGTGCGAGTGATCCATTCTTTTAGTCTGCATGCCTAGATAGTTGATTTTATACATGGCCATGGAGGTGATTGGAACACCTGAAGCCAATGATTTGGAGGGGTGTCCCAGTACTTTTGGAAATATAGTGTATATGTATATATATACACTAACTGGCCTCTTTATTAGGTACATCTGTTTAAATGCTTGCTAACACAAATTGCTAATCAGCCAATCACATGGGAGCAACTCAATGCATTTAGGCATCTAGACATGATGAAGACAATTGCTGAAGTTCAAACAGAGCATCAGAATGGGGAAGAAAGGGGATTTAAGTGACTTTGAATGTGGCATGATTGTTGATGCCAGATGGGTTGGTCTGAGTATTTAAACAACTGCTGATCTACTGGGATTTTCTCAGACAACCATCTCTAGGGTTTACAGAGAATGGTTCGAAAAAATATCCAATGAGCAGCAGTTGTGTGGACGAAAATGCATTGTTGATGTCAGAGGTCAGAGGAGAATGGGTAGACTGGTTCAAGATGATAGAAAGGCAACAGTAACTTAAATAACCACTCATTACAACCAAGGTATGCAGAATACCATCTCTGAAAGCACAACATGTCAAGCCTTGAAGCAGAAGGGCTGCAGTAGCAGAAGACCACACTGGGTGCCACTCCTGTCAGCTAAGAACAGAAAATGGAGGCTACAATTCGCACAGGCTCACCAAAATTGGACAATGGAGGATTGGAAAAACATTGCCTGGTCTGATGAGTCTCAATTTCAGCTGCGACATTCAGATGGTAGGGTCAGAATTTGCCATAAACAACATGAACACATGGATCCATCCTGCCTTGTATCAACGGTTCAGGATGGTGGTGGTGGTGGTGCAATGGTGTGGGCGATATTTTCTTGGCACACTTTGGTTACCAATTGAGCATCTTTAAATGCCATGGCCTACCTGAGTATTGTCGCTCACCAAATCCATCTCTTTATGAGTACAGTGTACCCATCTTCTGAGGGCTACTTCCAACAGGATAATGCACCATGTCACAAAGCTCAAATCATCTCAAACTGGTTTCTTGAACATGACAATGAGTTTACTGTACCCCAATGGCCTCCACAGTCACCAGATCTCAATCCAATAGAGCATATTTGAGATGTGGTGGAATGGGAGATTTACATCATGGGTGTGCAGCCGACAAATCTGCAGAATATATATATATATATATATATATATATATATATATATATATATATATATATATATATATATATATATATATATAATATTATTTAAAAGAACCTGATAATGATTATTATCATGTTTATATTTGATTAAAATCCTTATAATAAGAAATAAGTATGTTTCATAATTTAGACATACTCAGAAGTGTGATGGAAATGGTATACAGTGTGTAAAAATATTATTAGGTGTATATTTAATATTTTACAGTAGTTTGCTGGATAAAAATAACAGTACATCTCTTTAACCAAGGTTTCAAGTTTCAGATGCTAATGTACGGAAATCGCATAGAATCAAAGATTGTTCCCAAAAACCTAATATAGGGAAAAAAACTACACCCTTTAGGATAATCCCTAGGTTAAATAGTTTTTGAGAGTCATTTAAACTCTGTAGATACTCTAGATCTGATCTAAACCTGTTGGAAATTATATTATTTGCCTAATTATTACATTAATTGTAATAAATAATAGCATTTCAATAAAATATTGTTACATTTAGTTTCCACTGAAGTCAAAATGGTTGTCTAACATCTTCATATAAAAATTCTGGGGAAAACACCTTGACCAAAGTACAGCTGACCTGGTATTTGGTTGTCTTCATACTAGTATGTGGTCAAGGGTTAACATGTATTAGAGCTTATCTGACAGGTATGTAGTTTCAGACATTTTCCTTTTAAAATTGTTCTTTTTTAAATTCCTTTAAATTCATATATCAGCTAAAGATGACACAGATATTATATATATATATATATATATATATATATATATATACACAAAACAAACAGAAATAGAGACAGACATGCAGACAATATGCACGAATCAGGACATAGCAAAGTCAGTTAATTGTATTAATAATCTAATTATACATGAGCATTAGAATATGCACCTTCCCACAAGTGATAAATGTATTACATCTGTATAACAGGGACTGCTTAGCAACCATCATAAAAAAGTGTTTCAGTCCTAAGTGTGGATGCTGTAAAGTAAAAAAGTTTTCACATAAATAAAAACTATAAAACAAATAATGTAACACTTTGGTATAAAACTATCAATGCATGTACCAGAACCTATGATAATAGAACAGAATATTGTACCTATAATCAACAAAAAAGCAATCAATGGTATGGTATCTGTCAAATGAAGGCTGACTGTATGCAAAAAAGAACAACAAGAATTTAAACTTAATGTTTAAATCTAAATGTTAAGGTGAAAAAACTATTTCTATATTTATTTTACACGATTAAATGCATAGCTTTTTAAATTCCCCATGATAGATGTAAGAGATATTAAGTAGATTAAAGACATAAAGGGGCATTGATGATATTAAAAATAAGCATGAAATCTCCAAAGTAAGTGACAATTTTGGAAAACAGAATATGTTTTTAAACAGATTTTATATAATCAAGAATTTATATGTCCTGAAGATTATCAAAAATGAGTGACAAATCTCGGTAGAAGGATCTCCTTAGGGCTTTGTTCTGCTGTTGTAATCATCTATTTATGAAGTCTCTGACTTTTTTTTTTTGCTCATGTAGTATGTACAAAGCTTCACTGAAGGTCAACATAACCTGTCAAGAAAACTTTAGAATTGAAGTTGATAAATGTTTCTGTTTAAAACATTATGTTATCTCTCCCCATCTTCTTCCTCACCCTACAGACTACTAGGGGACCTATTATTGTGATAAAATACATCCACAGAATAGTTCAGATTAGATTTTGGCTTTCAGCAGCCATTTTGGATCATATACTGCCATTGGATATATCTCTGCCTAGGGCTAAGCTTTGATTAGTGTGAAAAAAATTACATTATTTTCTCTACGGCTTTACAACTGCAAGACTTATTTTCCACCAAAGGTATACAATGTGCTTTAAATTCAAGACAATGATCTTTACTACTTGCACTAAATCAAGACAGTAGCTGTGTAGGGTTTTCCAATTGTTTTGCTAATATTAGTTTTAGTTGCCACAAATACATGAAACCATAAGGTTGGTGTAGAGTTCAAGAGATGTTTACACAACTGGGAAAAACAATGACCAGTAAGTACTATATAGACAATATATATTAAATAGTGTTTGTAAGTATTGAAATTAAATTGCACTGTACCTGTAAAGTTTCAGATCTATCTACACATGTTCTGCAAACTTGAGAGGAGAAAATAATAAAATGTTAAGTTAGCCAAAGCCATTTCAGTCTATGATTAAGCAATCAGTCATTCAATTTATTTATTTATTTATATATTTACTTATTTATTAATTTTAAATGGGGGAGTGGGGCCTAGTTATCTAATACTTTTTGATGCTTTAAAAATGAAAGCTACCATGTGAATTTATTTGATAAATTACAGTAGTGTTTGCCATTTGTCGTTAGATAATGGATCCATGATTTAGATATACAGTATATGAAAATTGAGCATGAGTGGGGGTGTGTCCAAGATGGCGCCCGGGAGCAGGAGCAGACGCTTCTTCCTGAACTCCGGCGCCTTGCACTATCATCCGCTGCCATCCCAGAGATGGCAGCTACCCACTGCTGATCCATAGCTCTCTGGATCCCGCCTGACACCTTAGGAGGGGTCCTGGGCGATTTTGCCCCCTGTCCGATCATCCGGGGCGCCAGAAGGCCTGCAGCCTACCTCGGAGAGTGAAGCCGGGGTCTTTCCTGATCCCGCGGCTGGGACGGATTGCCGCCGCGGCTGGGATGACACGCTGTCGTTCTGCCCTACGGACCCCATAAACAGGTCAGATACGGGGACAGCCTGAGAGGGTCCCCCTGGCTCTTCTGTGGGTCCTGAGGACCACACCAAGCCAATATAGAATCCCAGTGAGGCCTGGAGCTTACTCAAAGTGGGATTGTGGCCCTGGATAGGGGGAGAAGCTCCATCTTTCAGCCCCCTTCCCCAAAAGGGTGAATTAGGGGAACCTGAGGCACCTCTTGGCCATTTGCCAGTGTACCATAATAATGGATCTTATGTGAATGCATCCCCGCCGGGGGACATGTGCACGCGCCAGGGGAGGATGACTAAGTGATCCCCCTGTGCCATGCCACCGGAATATTTACCTCGGCAATCGGGCTTCTACACCCCAGTATATTACTCCAATAGATTGAAGGCCTTTTGGAACCTTCTGGACTTCTCTTAACAATGCATCGCACTCCACGTACTAAACCTAAACATTGGGCCCAACATCAATCCCCTCCACAGGGCCATGTCGCTAAGCAAACACCTAGCCCTCCTGAGTCTGATGACAACACTCAGCTTCCGGGGGACCCTGAGTCGGATGGCGATAGTCAGTGACAATTCCCATCGGGGATGGCCGATCCTCTTGAACAAAATCCTGAAGCCTTATTACACAAATTCCATGCTATAGTGTAAGAGGAGATTACAGCTGCCTCCCGTAAATTATCTTCTGATCTGGTAAGAGGCTTAAAAGATTTGGGCCTTCGTGCTCATCAATTGGAACAACGTATGGATCTAGCGACTATGGTCTTGGAGGGTCATGAACAGGAGGTGGAGGATCTACATGCTGAGCTGGACACTTTAAAAGATAAATTGGAAGACGCAGAGAATAGAGCCCGCAGAGATAACCTCTGCATCCGCAGAGTCCCCAAGGTAATCACCGATCAACAGGGTACTGCTACTGCTCTTTTTCAGGAACTGACTCCTGAGATCCCCCTGGAGCG